TTCAAGCTCTTTAAAGTATATATTATTACTTGCTGAGACCTTTAATAGAAGATGAATCCTTTCGAGGCTCAGCAAAACCTCCAAAACAAGTAGTTTTCAAACACAACTCACACTAAACCACTCATCATCAGGAGTCTAATCTGCTGTGATAGAGATGTTGCAAAACAATCTTTTATTTTGCCATTCCCATTTCTTGCTGCTAAATAAAAAAAACATTTTTCTACTTCTACTTTACACCTTGATTGTGGGCAAATCTTTTGGTCCCTATGATGGACCAGATTAGCTGAAAGCCCATCCATTGCAAACTTTAAAGTGCAGTTTAATGTCAAGGTGAAATTGCATTTGGGAGATTTTTTTTAATGTCTTTGGAGAAAACCTGTGGGTTTAAGGGAAATCAGAATAAATTAATAATAAAGTAGAGTTTATAGGATGTTTTATTGCCTTAAAAGATCAAAATAAACCCATAGAGATGGAGTACTGAAAGAATGAATCAAGAGTCTGAGCTTAGTTTCCTCCTAAGACTGTCCTTTTTGTGTAGAGTTGGGTATTCCCCCTCTCTATGTACACTTGGAAGGATWTAGTTATTTTTAATGGGAGTAGTAGGTTGAAAAGGTCCTTAAAAATATATATTTGTAGATTCAAATCAACCGGGGACAATAAAGAGACGATCTGAGAAACAGAGACTTTCTGAGAATGAAACTGAGGAAAAGAGGCGTGGCCTAACTGCAGCGTCTGGAGTAATTAGAACTAGCAAAGCAGCCTGTGGAGAACGGCTGTCCCTCAGGGTCCGTTTTATCTGCCAGCTGATATGATTACCCACGAGGGTTGCTTGTTTCACGCCGTGTCCATGGCAACAGTGACCAGAAGAGGCCGAGCGTGGAAAGGCAGGGCTTAGTGTCGGAGAGAGAGAGAGAGAGAGAGAGAGAGAGAGAGAGAGAACAGAAGACCTGGCTAGACAGATCCGTGTTAATGTTTGAGAGATAAGGGGCGAGCTGTGTGTGAGCCAACAGGAAATTAAGGTCCGCCTCGCCACAGGAAGTCATGCTCAGAGTGGGTTACCAAAGCTATGTCTACAAACTGTCCTGCAGGACTCTGGGACAAGTGAGTTCGGAGATTAGATGCAACAGTTGGAGAAGCTAAAAGAAGAAAGAGATATTTCAGTATAAATTACTGAGAAAAAACTACCTTAACATTTTCTGTTGCTTGTGCAAAAAGATGAATTTGCAGACATTCACTGTTGTTAAATAGATGTAAAAGTTGTGKGTTTCGTGTTGTGAGCAGGTGGAGGCAGGAAGTGATGCTCCCTCTGAATCTAAAGTGGACTCGAGGGTAACGCTGCCTGCAGAGAACGGAGTGAACCACACAACCATTATTGCCCCAAAACCTCCTTCACTGGTCAGCCACCAGCCTCAGACTGCAGGTCGGTCACAATCTACCCATCGAAACATCAGCAAGTGAAGGATCTMCATTTTTTTAAATAATACTGACTCAATGCAATACAAAAGCAGAGGTTTATAGTAACTAAATATATTTGCTTTGTTACAGTACTTAAATAGTTTTTTGAGGATTTGTAATTTTGCCAATTATTTTTTAAATAGCTACTTTTACTTTTATTTCATTACATTTTAAAGCTAAAAATGATACTTTTACTTCTTTACTTTAAAATGTAATACCTAGTTTCTCGTTGCAAAATTAAACATGTTCAAACTCATCATGAAAGAAGATGTTTCTGCACTCTAAAAAATGAAGTGTTGAATTTACTCAACAAAGTCATGTCAACTGGCTCCACTAAGCCTAACTGAGCAAATAATATACATATATTGTTCAATTAACTCAACCTTAGTGGAACCAGTTTGGTTTAGTAAATTCAACTGTTTATTTCTTAGAGAGTGTGCAAAAGTACTTTAACTTTTACTTTCCCAATTTTTTTGAACAGTTATCTGTCATTTACTTGAGTAGTTTTCTCATCAGTGAAATTAATTTTTGCCAAAGTCATTTTCTGTTCATGCAAATTTACTTTTACTTAGTTATTTTTTTCCAAGTACTTTATTACTGAGCCCGCGAGGGGACATGAGGGGATTTTTTTTCTTTTTGCGTTCCCTCGCAAAAGTCGTTTATCACTGTTGTGCCCGCCGCTTTATTAACAAACTCACATGTTCACCATTAGCGAGTTAGCCTACTGCTTTAATTCAGCTTGAGAATGAATATATCACACAACCACAGCATGGAAGTACGTCATATGCCCATATTTTAACAGTGCAGCCACACAACATCAATGTCAATTTCACAAACTTGTGGCRACACATCCTGTTTTGGTAACCGGATATTTCAAAATAAAAGTCTGATTTACTGCAGTTCATTTACAAATCAAACTTTTGTGTGGGAACGCAAAACAATATTACGAGGTAATGTAATACTATTGCGTGGGAACACAAAAGAATAAAATCCCCTGTGTCCCCTCGCGGGCTCCTTACTTTATAGACCTCTGCACAAACGATACAAACCAGAGTTAGAAACCATCATCTTTTGTTGACGTGTTATCCATTTTGGCCAAATCTTGAAAATAATGGATTTTTTTGCTAACAGACAAACACACTGTCTTTCTTTTTCCAGGCAGTAATTAACAGCTTAAGTGATAAAATGACCTCCTGTTGTTTTAAGGAAAGTAAATACTCCAGAAAACCAGAAATGTTATTTTTAATCAACATGTTGATTTTGATTGATTATCAGCTAATTTTTTTTTTTTAAATGTGTCATTTTTTTTATTTTGGGTTTCAGGTTCATTGAAACCATCAGTAAAGTCTGAAGACATCATACATAGTGTTCTCACTGGTAGGAAGTTGATCTCAACTAACTGTTTCATTATATCCTGTCATTCCTGAGAAATAATCTAACAAATACCTTAAACATCCGATTTCACAATCTGAGCAGAATGGTCTGTTATGTCTGTCTYTTTGGCCCCTCAACATCTTTTTCCTGCGGTTTTCCACCCTTCCTCTTCAGAACTGGAGGCTCAGACGGTGGAGGAGCTGAAGCAGCAGAAGGGATTTGTTCGGGAGCAGCGAAAGCAGTACAAGGAGATGAAGGAGCTGGTCAGGAGACACCACCGCAAAACCAGCGAGCTGATCAAGGAGCAAACGGCCCGTGTGTCTGAGCTGCAGAGCCAGCACCAGCGGCGCCGCTCGGCCCTGCAGAAGAGCCACAAACGTGATGGTAAGAAAAGGTAGGTAACAGTCCTGCTCCTCCACGCTTCAGACCTTTAAAAGCAATCAAACCAAGTCGAGCTGTTTTTTTTTTCTTCTAATTTGTAAAATGTGTGTGGTAATAAAACCCAGCGAAGCGCCTCTTATCTGAGAGCTTATTAAAAAAAGAAGAGGTTTGTCATCAGCAGCTGAGAAAWGTTTATTTTTTTCATCAATAAATTTTACCAATCCTCTTTTATTTCATTTTATGGAACTGAAAATTTAAAACACCATTACAGGGAAAAAAAAAATTATGATAAATGCCCCACCACTCTCAGGTCCTTCTTTATTCATGTGCTTAAAAAAAATCTGAAAAAACAACTAAATGAAGACTGTTGTTGTGTAGAATATGGAGGGATGTGGCATTCTTCAAGTTTTGATTAAATGAACATTTGGCAAATAAATAAACACATAACTCTGTTACTACGATACTGATTACACTGTTAGAAATAGCCTGAATGTTATTGACTCTAACTATAAATAATTTCTTGACTAATTAAAACTGTCTGATGCTTATCCTCCTATAATTTACAGAATTATTTATGTCGCATTTTATTGCTACAAATTAGGGCAAACATGAACATTTTCCTAGTTTGTGGCCATTTTTGTGTATTTGTTCACATGCTGGCTGTGTTTGTGTGTTTGTCACCAGCCGGTCGGACCACTCTCTATCCACCCTGGACCAGGAGCTGTTGGAGCTGGACCAGGAGTGCAACCAGAAACTGTCGGAGCTGAAGGAGCAGCAGCAGCAGCAGCTCCTCTCACTCCGACAGGAACAATACTACAGCGAAAAGTACCTCAAGCGAGAACACATCAAGCAGGTACTCGCGTAGAAAAACACACAAAAGAACTTCCTGTTTGATTATTTTACTTGGAAACCTTTGTGTGGAGAAATAAAAGCAAATATTATAGAAAATGTAGCTTAGAAGTTGAATATATGTGTTTTTTAATTATGGTTTTAAAAAAGCAGCAGGTAAATCTAACAGTTTAACCCCTCATTCAGCTCTTGTAAAGTAACAGATTAAATATTAAAGGCCCAACGTTTCCCTAAAGAAAAGCATATCACCCGCCACTTTTCTTGCCAGAGTTCCTTACCAAGAATACCTTATGTTTGTAAAAATACACAGCTCTGTATTTTTACAAACATAAGGTATTCTTGGTATGAATACCTTACAAACAAAAGGTATTCATACCAAGAATACCTTATGTTTGTAAAAATACAGAGCTCTGGTCATTTTGGTCAAACCTTAAAAATAGTGTTTTTTAACAATCACATATAATATCACAAAATGTACAACTCTTGAGTMTGTTCTCTTACTGACTCTTAGCTACTACCACACCAGGTACTATCTCAGTATATGACTTTAAATGTTAACCAGCTGTAGTTGTAAATCCACTGATTATTTCCTGAAAGTTGCATTAAAATCTGTGCAGTGCTTTATGAGAGACTTTGCCAACAGTATGAATTGACTTCCAATAGATGTCAGAATTTAAAGGAGGYATTATGTTTAATTCTATACGTCAGTCAAGAAATGCTTACCTTCAGTTGTTATGAAAAAGCTGCATATAACAAAAAGAAATTAGACTTTGCAACATTGTCTATCCAAACATATTGAAATTGGCTTCTATCTCTTTAAAAACCTCRTATTTCCGACACTCCCACTTCAGCACGTCTTCTCTACAATACTTTGGAAGAGGGGGGCTATGAGGGGAGGCAGGTGCTTTGGGACATGCATGTATGAGTCAAAGCAACACTCTGGATATATTTTTGTTGAGGGAATGGCATTATAACATGATATAAAGCACCCCCCCCCAAAAAAAAATTTAATCTTGTGAAATTTGCTTGGACCAAGAATATGTGATAGGGATTAATTTCAGCTACTACAGCACCAAACTTTAGGTTAATATCTGTAAAACTGACTGAGTTATGTTTTTTTAGGATGAGTTGGCAGTAGCAGCCATCCAGATTTTTTTTTCTTTTTTAACTCGTATCAGTTATAGATGTAAATCAAACAGTAAGCTTCTGCAAGCTTTAGTAAACAAACACGTTCAAAAATAAAAT